TAACTACGGACATCTTTCAACAATTTTTTTCCTGATTCTTTCCATTTTCAGTCCCTTGGCCTTCATTAGCTTGAATTCTTTCTCCTTTCCTGGTCCATTTAATGGACTTTCTCCTTTCCAAGCCTACTACTTCCAGATGAGCTTCTCTTCTTGATTTCAGCTTATCTCCTTTGAAAAATACTTCTTTTACACAGCAGATTTCTATGTTTCACTATCGTGACAAGTACCATGCAGAAAACAAGCAAACAAACAAAAAGGATTTCCATAAAGTGTTACTTTTTTTTTTCAGTATATCCTTTAAATTCAGTCCAGAGGGACATACTCTAATGTAATGTTACTACAAAGATGAGACTGACTACATAAGATTTGCTTTCCAACTTTCATTACACAAACTCTGATAAACCTAAAACTTTTTTTTTTTTGACTCTGTTTTACTGTTCAATGTTTAAGAAATGCAGCTAGACCAATTTGAAGGAAGTGTGCAGTTTCAGATGCTTCCTACATAAAAAAAAATCACTAGAGGTTAAGAAAAATTGTAAAGATCTGCAAGATTTGCAAAGCAGCTGCCCACACGGGACTGCTCAACTGAAGAAAGAATTACTTGCTTTAAGAGAGTTCTGGTGCATACCAAACAGGATGCACAGCTTGGATCTCTGTGCTTGACCAATGCCTCTAAATATTTACGATGGCTAAATAACAGCAACTTTTGAAGGGAATGCATTTCATCTGTTGGGCTGAAGAGCAGAGAGCATGGTAGGAGCAGCAAATATAGAGTAAGGAATTAAAAAGAAATTGCAAGGAATGAGACTACAAAAAATAATCACAAATGTTTTTGACAGAAAGTAATTTGCAATGTACATGCTTTTTAAAAAGGCTTAGTGAATTATACACTGTCTGTTTTGAAAGTTTTATTTGCTTTTCACACAAATAAACATACCTGCTACAAAAACTGCAACATTTTTGGTTATATTTTTTCTCATTTCCTGAGATATTTGGTCACTCCCAAACACAACGGCAAAGCAACTCACTTGCAAGTTGTTTTGTAAAATGTCATATAGCTGTTTAATATAATTTCACAACCCCTATACTTAACGCAATCATGCCACTAGTAAAAGCTCCACTCAAGTTTCATAGATGATGCATGCATTCTTACCTTCCGTGCAAAATCTCCTTTCCCTTTGCTGTAGGCTTTATTCTCCAGGAAATCATAAACATAATGGGCTAAAGCTGGAGAAGCTTTCATCATTTCAGGATTTAACAACAGCTGAATAAAGGAAGATTTAAGTCACTTTTTAATAAATAATGAAGGCTATATCGTGTACTTTATCTGTAGTTACTCAGGCACACTCAGAGTTCATCTATCCATACAAAGACACTGAGACACCTTCTCATTCACTCTCAAAATGTTAGAGCATTACACTATTCCAAGGGTGCAGACAACTTGCTGCTTCATCGTTACCTATAATTTTAGCAAATATGTTAATTATAGCCTCTCACAGAAAAATATACATCTTTATGACCACTCAAACTTCTAAATAGATTCTAAACCTCTTAGCACAAACCTGCAATAACTAAAATATATTCACATATTGCTATAAAAAAGCACTTATCTACTTATCTCACAATGAACGTTTAATGTTAAGTAAACGTTAATATATTTTATAAAGAGCAGATAGATTTCACAGTTTAGTTTATTCAGTTTCATTATTTCTGAACAAAATTCTTAGGACAGATCTGTATAGTTTGTTTACAAGTCCATCAGGTCAGTCAGCGCACTCCAGTGCTAAGTGCCTGGGAAATTACTATAAAAGGAAACAGCAGAATTCATGAGGGTTTGGCAGACAGAGGCTCAACCTGAACAGGGAAGTCATGCAGTGGTTTCACACAACTCAGCCTGGGTGCTGTGCCAACTGTTACGTTGTTCCATTACAGCACAAGAAAAGGTAACCAAAGACACGAGGGTAATAAAAGTCAGCAGACTGCTCAAAACCCAGCACAGCCTCAACCTCACCAACTCGGAGAAGTCAAGACAGAAAAGAAACCAAAACAACTAAGAGGAGGCAAACTTTTTAGCTAATATCAAGTTTACACCTCCTACAGTGTAAATACATATCTCTTCTAAATTTATATGGATGAATGACTTCTGTTTTGTAAGTAAGTTTTCTGAATCCTTGGATATCATTATCTCAAAATTGAGCACCTGCATCTTGTTGTAATAACTTCAGGAACGACCTGTGATCTATGTCACTCCTATTTACTGTCATTACCCAAGTCAAATGTGGTATTTAGATTCAGTTGGAAAACCTACAATAACCTTTCTGCAATAAAATAAGAACCTCTAGGCAGTCTTATAGCACAGGAAAAAAATATAGAAAATCTCTTTTGAGACATAAAAGCTTACCTGCAAATATGCATTTAGATCTTTCTTCCTTTTTTCCAAAAATTCTCTGTCCATATTGTTAAATGTCTTTTTGCCAGGAAGTTTCAATATATTTGCAAGATTTTCAAACTAGGGAGGGAAAAAAAGGGGAAGACTTTTCTGTTCTGTTTTTAAAATAGTTTTATACCACCATGTAAGCTCAGGAATGTGAGGAATCATGATAATCATCTAATCTCCTTTGCCATATAGCACCTGACAAATAATTTCTGTATCTATCCCATATCGCAGAGTCCCTGGAGAAGTCCAAATAAGTAGTCAAGAACAATCGCACACAAATTGTCAGAAGACTGTCAAGGAGAAAATTTAATTCAGGAACATATATGTGCTACTGTGTTCCAGTGATGATGGAACATTATTTTGAAATACGTATTTACTTTTAGGCCAGTTCTCTGCAAATTATCCATATGTCATCATGCCTGCTCAGAAAGATTTAGATTCAAGATTTATCACTGAGATTTAGGCAGAAGTTAGTAGGGATATGACTATATATCAAGAGAAGCTGCAAGACTAAAGCATCCTCTCCCGAACAAGCCTACTGATGAAGGAATTGTTCAGGAGCAAAGTTTTGTTCTTCGAGCAGGTGGATGGCCTGGATTCACTCACAGGCCACCACACCATGTTTCAGATGTCATTACCTGAAGCAAAGGCACAGGTGACGACAATGATTGGCACTGCTGAGGGATCTCCTACTGTACCATTGAAGCAGAGGAGACAGATGACACCCTAACACTTTGAAGGACATAATCTCTTTGCTATAGCCCACAGAAAAAAAAGTGGTAAGAACAAAACTTTTAAGTATCAGGATTATATCCAGGTACAAAATTCAGACTTTTCAGTAAGAATCTTTAGGAGATAAAGGTTACAGTATCTGGGTTTAAAAAAACAGCTTGGAAAAGGTGATATACTCCCTATAGGAGACTACAAAATTATATTTAAATTGCATTAAATGATTGGTTGACTTCATTTTAGTGATGAAATTAAACTTTGTAAGGCCATACCATTTGTTTGGTAGTTTATGGCCTGCAGGAGGAGACAAAGGATAACTTTCCAGCTTTACCAATCCCCTTTCCCTGGGATGTATTTGATGCAGGAAAAGAGCTGAAGAGGGAATCTAGGTTTTATTGGAATATTTTTATCTAACTAGAAGATATGCATGCAAAGAACAGCCGCTATTTTAAATATAGATATCACCTTCAAATTACACTTATTAAATGACTAGCTAAATAAAATAAAATAATAAATAAACAAACATGAACTTGTACTGTACTTTAAAGAAAGAAGTCCTTATGGATAATATGCACAGGTAACTTCAATTCTGTTTTGGCCTACTATTTTCTTGATGAAATGTGAACAATAAATTTAACAGGAAGGGCAAGGATTAAGTAAAAAGATCCTAACCTTTAAGAAGCCAAATTAGAAAACAACTCGGAAATGAATTCAAAAAGAAGAGAGCTATTCAGTGCTCCTGTAAATGAAGACTCAGTATGAATGTCTATTTTATTGTCAAAACCAAAGTGTTGGAATTTCTGAGATACGAAAATATGCTAAAATAATTTTTACACTTCGATATCTGAAAGTTCTAGAATGCTGTTTGGGGTTTCCTCTCCCCAGTAAATTAAATTCAAGGAAACTGGATTTAGCAATGAAAAGATTCCAAGCTTTCTTATTTTGAAATGCTGCTGCTGCCCTTTTTTCCAGTCAGGTAGCAGTAGATAAGTTTTAAATGAGTGCCCCATATTAGCATAATATTAACTCACAAGAACAGGGATCCCACAACTCTTTCAGCAGGTCAGGGATTCTTTAAATTTTCTTTATAATTAAAACAAAAATACAATACAATGTCTGCCTTTTAATAACGTTCCTTCCACTTTTACTATTGCTTTGACTTTACAGGGCTAACCTACCTGCACAGAATTTATTCTCTACAGCCCTCTATTAACAATGGAGTATAGGGCTATAATCCAGTGCTTCTGACTAGTTAAAAGGTTTATGTGGTCAACTTATAAAGACTTGGTTTAAAAGCATTTTACTCTTTCCTTTTCAAAGCAATGCATTACTGACACTTATTCATGTCAGCAGGTTCTACTTTGTACCAGCTGGTGAATTACTAGTCTCTTTATTTTTCCTTCTTTTATTTTATGGGGGTTAAGAGTCTGAGAATACAAGGAGAGCAATAAAAGACAGATTGTCTAGTAATACACAGAACTGCTAACAGCTGCCCCTTCTAAGGCTGCACCGATCCTTAGCATTTCACTTAAAACCTAAATGCCTATTTCCCAAGCTTAGTTTTTATTTCTTAATCCCTGTGACAAATACCACAAACGAACTATGCCACTGTTCCAACCAGCAGCACTTCCACTGGAACATTTTTAGAATGCTAAGGGTTAAGGTTAAGCTAAGGGAAAATAAACAAATAAACAATTTTCAAGTTTCAGTTATGTTTACTCAAGGAATTATATAAGCATTAGTTACTAACTGCATAGGGATGCACCTGTAGACTGCTTGGTACAAATAACATGTGACAAAGAGTGGAACAAACCCAATTTAATGCAAAATAATGTCGTATTATAACTGCATCTCCACTCATTTTGAGAAAGCCGGTGCTGTGTGCTGGCAAGGCACAAGAGTAAGCACCTTGCACAGAAACCCTGGCGAGTTCCCGCGCGTTGAGCTACCTGCTCAGTGATCCTCATGTGGAAGTCGTGGAAGTCGCTGTAGCGCCTGTAGGTCTTCCAGGTCTCGTCGCCGCTCGGAGTGCGCCGGTGCACGGTGATCGCGTACAGCGCGTACGTCTTGCCGTGGTCGTTACACACGCCTGCCACGGCATATGGGTCACAGTCAGCATAGACTAGTAGTTTAAAAACAAAAAGGGAACAAACAGAAGAAAGGAAGACGAGAGGACACAAAAGTGAAGTGAAGAAATGCCTGAAATGACAGACTGGAGACAAAAATGGACATGTAAGAGGAGCAGTAAGCCATCCCTTCATCCAGTGAACTTTATGAGTGGCACCCTCCAGAAACTTTCTATGGAAACTTAAGTTTAATCTATAATGCTTAGCTAGCCTAAAAGTTAGAAAAGTTTCACTGCTGGACAAACCAAAGAATTGAAACCATTTCAACGTGATAGGCCTTCAGTTTTGTTAGTAACGTCAGTACTTTGTCATCAACAATAACAAAGAGAGACACAGGTATGCATGCACACACATTTATGGGGAAAAGTCAACTTACAGATTCAAAAGCAGAGATAACTATCTTGAATAAATGCAAGTATCTTTGTTCCCCATTGCACATTTTTATTTTCTCTTGCACTTTCCTCCCATCCCCAGTATATAATTTATTTTTCAAAAAATTCCATTCACGCTGCAGAATAGCCTATAACTGTGTATGCAGTTTAAACTGTGCCTAAGCATTTAAACTGGCAACACTGTGCACTTTGAAGTATGGACCCAACACTAGGTAACACAGTTTTTCAGTAGAAAGACAAGAATCCTTTTTCATTACATTCTGTGAACTCCTTACTGCACCAGTGCTCTTTGAAACATGCTTTTCTTAACAAAACATCAGGTCTAATCTCTGTTGTGCTTCCAATCTTGACTTCTCTGAAGCAGAGGACTGGATAGGCAGCCAGTGAGCACCTTTAGGGGAAGGGCAATTGCTGACAAGGTGGGAACTACTCGCTAGCAGCGTGCACATGAGTAGAGGTGCACGGCCACCCTTCTGGCTTCCACCCTCCAGGGGAGGGGTGAGGGACGCTGGAGCCCAGGAGAAAGGAGCAGGGAGAGCCCCGAGAGCCGAACGCGGGAGCGTGGGTGGCAGCGCTGGCCTCCAGGCACACACGGAGCCTCCGGGGCGGCTCGAGGGGCACCGCCGGGCACGGGCAGCAGCAACAGAATCACAGCGAGGGCCCCTACCAGGCTGCTCCGCAAGCAGCACGCATTTTGCACGCCAAAGCAGAGCGAATCCTCTCGGGGTGAGCAGGGCTGCCGCGCTCCCCCAGCGGGGCACCAGGCAGCCCGTGACAGCACGGGCACAGCAAGGGAGCGGGCCCTGCGCGCGGGGGCCAGCCTGCCTGCAGCACTGGCGAGGCCGCAACTTGGACTTCGCATTTAGGCATGAGCTGAAGACAAAGAGAAGACGCCCAGTTTAACCCTATCTCGCAGTTTAAGCCTTTAAGTAACCGTTCATTCAGTTGGAGTATTACAGATAGCCAGAATCAAGATGACAGTTATCACTATGTGCTGCCATGAAAATAATAAATAGAACACTATTTCTATTCCTTAAATTTATCTTTTTGATTAGAAAGATCAAAACGACTCCTAAATTTAATTCAGATGATAAGCATCATATTAATCCTAACTTTAAATATGTTTTTTTTTTAGTTCTCTGAATATCAAATTTAGACACAAGAGGGCTGAGACTTGATTACATAGAGACTATTGGGTTAAAATAGCAGAGTTAAAAAAAATGTCCAGCAATTGAATTCTTGCTCATTAAATGTCTGCTACATGAACACATCATTTCAAAAGTCTTTTGCATAGTGAACTCTAAAAAACATGTATCCAAAGATCTCTTCTCAATTTAGTTATCTCTGTTGAATGCTGCCTATCCAGACTATTTGCAAATCATATCGAGACTATTGGGTTAAAATAGCAGAGTTAAAAAAAATGTCCAGCAATTGAATTCTTGCTCATTAAATGTCTGCTACATGAACACATCATTTCAAAAGTCTTTTGCATAGTGAACTCTAAAAAACATGTATCCAAAGATCTCTTCTCAATTTAGTTATCTCTGTTGAATGCTGCCTATCCAGACTATTTGCAAATCGTAAGTAAGCTCATCATATGTTCTCATTCAAATAAGCTTATTCAAATTAACTTATTACTAGTTATTTTTATTACTTTTATTACTTTTTTTTTTTTAAGTCACCACTTTAAAGATGGAAGTAACTATTTCAAATGAAAATGCAAAGCCAATAAGGAAGCATGAGAAGGTAAGAGAAGATTTTATAGCAAGAGAAGTAAACGTCCAAGAATTAAAGTTGGAAAAATAACTACAAGTAATATATAGAGAAAAAAAACAAATTACATTCAGATACAGAAATGCAATCTGCAGCTGTACGACCAGTTCCCTAAGGATTATCATTACAAGGATTTAATGGGAAATATGAATTCAAATGTTATATGAGATTAAAAAAAGTGAAATAATTCTGATTTGATGGGCCTTTAATAAAAAAATAAAACATAATAAATAAATAAGGCAGCAAAGAAGGCAATCATTGCTGCAGATTCACTTACCAGTATCTGAGATGTATGCATGGAGTTGAACTGTCTCATCTGAAGGGACATTTGACAGGTCATCTAAGGACTGCAGAGCGGGGAGAAAAAGGCAAAAAATACAATACAGTTGTACACACAACCAAGAGAGGCTTTTTCTTTAATCTATTTCATTTTCAACTCCCAGGTCACAACACTATTAGAATAGCTTCATGCACTGTAATAATTAAAATAAGAATTCTTACTGTCTGGCTCCTAAAACTTTATTACACCAATGTTAGGGCACCTTATTTTCCCACAGTTTCCTCACAGTTTTGTGAGCAGTGTCACTGTCAATTCTAGCTGTAAAAGCACAAATATCTAGTCTTTTATTGAGCATGAAATAAGTAAATAAGCTTTGAAGATACAGATGAGTTACAACATTTAGATCCTCTGATTACATCTTTATACTATTCCATTTTCTTCCATGTGACTTAGAATATTAAATAAGTTATGGCACAGCAAGAACTGAGTAACACCTCTGCTGTAGGCAAAGAAAACAAAATAAAAACCAAAACCACACAAACAAAAAACCCACCTTCCTCAGAAATGTTTTCTCTTGTAACAAATGAAGAGATACATTTTCAGCTATGTTAAAGCCCTGTCTCCCTGTTCAGTAATTATCTGGGAATACTTTAACGGGTCTCTCTCTTTTGAAATTACTTTTTATTTAAAATTGTACTTTTAACTATTAACATTTAGCATAATCTTGCTGTACGAAACTGTTGGGTGAGAAACTTGGCCACACAATTGCATTTGCCAAAAATAGAGGAAAAGTTTATGGACATAGATGGATCTACTATTAAATTACTGGGTTTAAAAGAGCCAAAGATGGAAGGTACTTTAGAAGACTGGGCTCTTGGGTCTCGACTCCCTCGGGGATCTTACCCAGAAATTCTCAAGGACACTCGAGCTCTGCACTCATTGATGATGCTTTGATGTGTACTGAGATAAGCAATCTCCTGTCTATGACTAAGCTTGTAGACTTATCAATACAAATGTCCGAAAAAAAAAAAAAAAAAAATAGAAGAAGCCTGTTACTAGCAGCAAGAGGTGTTATTACTCCAGATAAGTAACAACTGACTGTGCTAACCCTTTTCCTGCCTATGAAGTAATGACTTTTACTATTGTAGAACTTCTGTTGCTGTTGTCTGCTGCCCCTATGGCCACGCTGAGCACTCGGCTCCTCCGAAATGGAGCGGGGAGGAGGGTGGAAATGCAGCTAGCAGCTACTGACAACCTTTAGAAGCTGCACCAGGCCCTTCCTGCCGCTTTTGAGGTCTGGGAGATGTAATTCCTGCCTAGCTTCCTCTGTTTGCTCAATGCAAAGGCCATGTACGAAGCTCCTTTTATGGGTCCATTTAGATGGACTGCTCAAGAATCTATTCCACAAGGGGCTTATGCCCCAGGAAAGGTGGCCTACCAGTTTAATATAGCAGATTGACATATCAAAGGGTAAAAATTAGGAAACCGCTTTTGTGTAAAAAAAAAAAAAAAAAAATTCAAGTAGTTTCAAGATTGGCTTCCAATTAATCTTAAAATAAAGGTATAAACTGCAGATGTACTTTACAAGGTATTCTTCAGCAAACATTCCGCTATTGCAGCAGGGTACTATAGAGCAACAACTAATACCAGTAAATTAAATAGTTGAGACTTGAGCAGCTAACAAAATATTTTAATTTGAAAATGCCTAATATCACCAACACTGAGATATATTCCCTGAAACACTGAGATATATTCCCTGAAAGTTAATTACAACGCAAAAGGATCACACAACCCCATCTTACTTAATATATTATCTTTCGTTAAAAGTACAGAAATTTGCTGACCTCTGAAGTAACCTCTTCTGTGGTCTATTTGTTTCATGTAACTAACTGACACAAGGGAGCTATACTGTTAGTACAGACAGTTACTCTTGACATGGAATTCAGCCAGGAAAAACTAATCTGCCAATATTCAAACACCTGTAAAAGCACAGAAAACCCTGCACAGCACTAAACAATACAGACTGCAGAAAGCAAAGGTTCCTCTGCACAAACAAACCTTTGATGCACATTTCTGTTAAAATGTCCTTTACTCTCCAGAAAAACAATAAATGCACTACTCTAAAATGCACTTTTCAGAACTAAAATAAGTCTTTCAAGTGTCCTGTGAAAACACCTGTCTGTTTGAAAAAGGCTACATGAAATTAAGCAGTAGATAAAAACTAACCAAATAAGTTATAGCAAAGACAAATCCCAACCTATAAAACACTTCTGATACACCAGAATTTTTCTAAAGAAACATTTTAATATATTTTTTAAAGTATAGTCCATTTTAAAAAGCCCTTTTGTGAAACACTATCATTGCTTTACATAAATTTATAAAAAATTGGGCTAAAATAAGCTTCTCTTCTGCATAATCTAGAAGCATTTTATGCAAATTGAACAGTTGGACATTTAAACTTTTTCTTTATATTTCATATGTAAACAGTAGGAAAGCAAAAAAAGAAAAAGGAAAAAAAAAAGTAGCTCACAAGGGCACATTTACATTTATGCTGAGCACATTTATTCCTCCAGACAGAGCAAGGTGATCTAACTGACACACTGCAGCTCCTCAGGGGGCACAGAACCCTCCCGGAACGGACTGGAATTGTTTGGGAGCACATATGTCAGGAGACTGCATGTGCATCTCACACCTTCCTAAAGGCTCACGAATTACCAACAATCTCGCTGAGCTACAGCTGAACTTTGTTTGTCTTGTGACTCAGGTTGATGCATTTTTAGGAAACAAGTGCAAGGGAAATATATCCAAAACATTTCTGATTTTTCCTCTCTAAATAACTTTCAAAAATAACTTCTGAAAAACAACTTCTGAAAAACTATGAAAATATGATTAAATGACTAATTTTAGAGCTTATTTGAATTTAATTATTTGAGATTTCAAAGGATTTTTTCCACCTATCACCACCTAGCTTCAAATTCATGCCTATTTAAAAAAAATTCACGGGAGCGCTTTTTTTTGCATAAATTATAGCTGAATGCATAGTTTCTTGCAGAAAAAAAGCAAGTATTTCATGAAATACATGGGTAAGTTGAAAAAAGAGAGGTTTATCTTCGAAATGAACTGATATCTGAGTTTTGAGTTTGATTTGATTGAGGTTTGAACAGCAAGGTTGGTTCTATCTGAAATTAAACTGTAATGCAGTAAGCTCCCTAACCTATACACAATGCAATCTACTTTATAAAACTTTCTCTACTACTGAAAGAAAAAAAATGCAGCAAAGCACTTACCAGATTTATGCTACCAGTAGGAGACCCATTAAAGGATTCTGGGAATAGAGAAGAAGGAAAGGAAAAACAAGTTAGATTTTCTCCAAAGTCAGGCCACATACAAGGCATAAAAAAACAAAAAAAAACAAAGAAAAAAACCTGCATAGACAAAACATTATTGAAAATTGGGCAACTGTAGCATTGGACAAGTGTTGCATGCAGCATCCAAGCACTTTAAGCTTCCAATAAAAACATATAAAGAAAATGTGTGCAGGTATATGCAGCTAAGTGAAATACTCCAGAGAGCATTAATCCTTCTTTTAAGCTAATATCATCACACTAGATTGCTTTGTTAAGGAGTCAGCTTAACCGTTAAAAAGATTCCAATCAGATGCGTAGTCTGGTTAAGGAGAAGGATAGTTTTGGACTTGCTGACTATTTGGGACTACGCAGGAGAAAAACATGCCTGGAATGATAAATTGTTTACTAGCTTCGACAGAAAACAGAGATCTTAAAAGCTGTCTTTATCCTGAATATTAAAATGTTCTTCTATTAATTCTGAAAGTGAAAAATATTACTTCAATTTCATTCAGCAGCTGAGCTGTTGCCAGATAGCCCTTCTAGCCCAAAGTATTTTTGAGAAAAAAACTAAGACACAAGAGAGCAGGAGCAGACGGGGAGAAAAGGCCAGGTTATTGGAACTGCCTGAGCTCTCACATGGGGCGTGCAACAGCATCATACAAGAAGTAATATAATTTAACACAGGAAAACTAAATAATGTGTTCAGAAAGTCCAGGCATGCCCTGATGCACCCTGCGCAGGGCGGCAGCACGGCCCACGCTGCTTCCCACAGCCCAGCAGCTCCCGAGGGACTGCCAGGGACCGAGGACACCTGCCCAGGCGGCCACGAAGGAGCTGGTTTCTTCCACACGCCAGAATCAAAACAGCTGGAAACCAGCGTGGCAGGATGGTTAAAACAAGGCAAAATGAAACAGACAGATGAGCAAAAAACAAACAAAAATTCACAAGGAAGATGAGGCACAGTGTATTTTCAATTCCTATACAACCGCTCAAAAAAGAAAATCAACGAAGAAGCACAGAAATAAACCCTCCTCTTCTTCCTTCACACACGTAGAAAGTAAGAGCCACACTGGCATGCACAAAATGAAGTGAATCTACTGTCCACTCTACAAAGACAAAAATAGAGCCACAAACAGCAGCTTGAGGTGCTCGTGCTGCACTTAGGCTTGCCAGGCTGCAAACCAAAACCTGGTAAATGCCAAATGCCAGCAGCAAATTCCAAAATACCAGCAGGTATCTTCTGAATTCCCTTTTCAATCCCTTTCACCTGAATTTACTTAAATCTCAAAGACTTCAGAATCTTTTGGTATTCTATCTCTAGAGAACACAGAGAACTCATGCACTGAATCCTCATGCTTCCTAACAGGGAGGCAAGGGACAGACTTGCTTTTATGCCTATTCACTTTAATACCACAGTAATATTTTATTCTATTTGGGCAGCTTTTATTAGCAAGACCACACCCAATATTTGTTAAGAATTTTATTAAGATAGACACAGTCAGGGGTTTTAACCTGGGAATGAGCTGACTTGTACCTGACCCAGGCAAAAGCATGCATTTTTTTTCAGAATTTCTGATTTTTTGAAAAGGATTTAGAAGACTGTTAAGTGAACAAATTAAAAGTTATGGAACAGAGTTAGCACATGAATGGTCATCAAACAACCAAACACAAAAAGAACAGCATACAATAGTTAGGTAGAAAAAAATCGTGAACACGAGAACAAAGATGCAGCTAGAAAAGGTGTGACTGACTGCTGTGTACACTAATCTAGGCTCTGCAGAGACACTGCGATAGCTTCATCCACAGGGTCACTTTAAAACTAAAAGAATACGTGATCAAAACTGACCTTTATAATGGTAATTCTTACATGTTTTCAGATACTAGCAAAGGATACCACTAGAGGGTGGTAAAGCACACAATCCTTCTTCCATTTTTAGTTACTTCTGTTCTTAAAATACCTTTCTGTTTACTCAAAAGTGTACCTCAGGGGGCTCCAGAAAAAAAGTGTGTGCAGAAATGGAACTATGTTAAAATTACTTTCTAGGCACTATGCTATTAGCAAGAACACAAAGGTAAACTATAATAGAACCAGAAGATATTCAAATGAATTCAATACGAAATATGGGGAAAATGCATAAAATGAGCATTTCCGAACTTAGGCTCCCTAGCTTTGTATATGACCAGGAACAAACAGTTTGGACTTGCAAGCCCTATTTATCACTAAAAAAAGAAAAAAAAAATCAAGGTTTTCATTTTTTCCAAAGAGCTTTAAGAAAGCACATCTCCTACATACTTTTCAGTTCTATTTTTAGATGCTCTGTAGTTATATATTAAAACAACCCATCAAGTTGAAACACCTCAGTATTACAAAAAAAAATGCAAGTGACAGTCACACATTTATTTTAGGCATACACTTGTCACCAAGACTTAATCAAAAACAAAACAAAGATGACAACATTGATAAACTTATCAGGGAAAAACTCATTTGTTTTTCAAAACAGCATGTGTATATATGTGTATGTGTGTATATATAAAAACAAAACAAAAAACCCACAGAAACAGGACACAATAATATTAAAAAAGAGATATTATAGTACTTTATTTCATTTCTCAGAAAGGGCAAATGTAATTTCATTATTTTTATATTAAAGTAGAAAACACTAAAAGAAAACACCTTAGAGACAAGGAGCTCACCTCCTTCACCATCATCTGATCCTCTGAAACTAGGATCCTTCAGCATATCCAGCTCAGCTAGCATACGCACATATAGGACATTCTGCTTGAATGAAGGGTAGAATCTTTCATCTCGCAGCATCAAGTCATACACCTTATGGAAATAAAAAGATACTAATCTTAGGAATATTCATCATGTTTTGCAATAAACACTCTAGTTCCCATACATTTGATCACCGTGTATCAGTGCATTTTATTCCTTGTGTATGGGGTTTCTTTAAATGCTACTAAGACTGACTGAAATATCAAGGGAAGCTTAGTAGCTTAGTCTTAGCACAGTTAGTTCCCAATGCATTTCCAAATTTTAAAGTATACAAGAATCTCAGAAAACATTGTATCAGAAAGAGTAAGTATAGACAGCAAGGCAAGTAGCACATTAAGTGTAAATATCTCCTTTCTCTCCTCTTGCCCCAGCTGCATTATATTTAGCCATTACCATTTGACAAAGCTTATTTCTCAGAGCCGTCCTTTGTGGGTGAACTGTTAAGTGTAGACTTGTACACACTTCGGGATGGAGGTGAGAAGAAGGAAAAGCAGGGAGGGAAGACCACGTACCACATCACATTTTTGAAAATTTCCAGTTGAGCACTTGCAGTCAGATCTTGTGTCATAGTTAGCCATACCACCACAAAAGGTGGCACACTGCTGTACTGCTATCTTTTTTCCAGGGTTGTCATATCCAATCCCACAGCTACCTACTCACCAGTTAAACCATTCGGGTTTATCAGAAAGGCAACTGGCAATTTAAGTACATAAGAAGTTTAAAAGGGAGAATATGCAACATTTTAAACTCCTAGAAAATTACCTTAAGAGATCTTTAGCAATTGGTTCCTAAAGTATTGTTATAAATATACACACACACACACATTATATATATAAACACACATACATATTTATATGTTGTATAAACTAACCCATAAATGTTTTGGACATTCATGATAAATTATTTTAATGGCTTAATGGGTTTTAATGGTAAAAGAAATATAGCAAAGTACTATTATTCAATAAGAATGGAAAAAAGCCATGCAGGTCAGAGGAAGTCAATTTCTACTACAGCTTATGAGAATTTTATGTTCTCTTCAGTATAAAGAAATCCCATACAAGGCCCAGTTAACATACTCTAGGCAATATAAATTCACAAGGTGTTTTCATTAGGCGTGAATTTGTATCTCAAGTACAACAGACTGATTCCAGGTTTATAGCTTGTATCAGTAACTTTTAACCTAAATGAGTTAATGACTTGATTTTTTTTTTGATCTCTTTGATATGTATTTAGCTGATGCATAATTAATTGTTCACTCATTCCTATTTCAATCCTTAGAGTGATAAAAAACTATGTATGTAAGTGCCAAAAATAAGGTTTTATCTCTGGTACATACTGCTTCAGAGAGCCACACTGTAGGCTTGCAGAAATACACTGAAATGGAACAGTCAAAAATCTGAGTTCTGTTAAGTTTGTTTGAATTTTTTGAGTGTTAGTATTTGTTTTATTTGTTATGTTATGTGTGTTAGTATTTGTCGTTATTTTAACTCCTTGGTAGAGATACAATATTGACTTTGGTAAAATGCCTACACTCGGCTTTTAGAAGGAGACTAAAAGTAAGCTAATATTGTACCATGGAGTTGTTATGCATGTTTCTTAGATTAGTGCACAATAATAATCCCACTCTTTTATTTCTGCTTCATGACTAATTTCATACTGGCCACCTGCACCTTCCATTTGTTGTTTTTCAAACCATGGCTAACAGCTAAGCCCAAATTACCTATTTAGAATATGATTTTTATGAAATAGAAAAGTCGTAAAATATGTTCGAGATTTCAAATATGTGAGCTCCCTCCTCCTGTCCAATGGCTGCAACAAAGTTTAATAACCTTAACAATTCCTCAGAAATACAGGATGAACAGAGTATACCTTTCTCTGAATGTCATCAAAGATTTCAGGTGTTGGATCCTCATGGTTCAGTGTTTCTGCCAGTTTTGCTACTAAGTTGTCATCAATATTAACTCTCGGAGATGCCTGCCATAGAGATCTAAATCAACTTTTGCAGCATAAGATAAAAAAGCTTCTACTTTCACAAATAAAATCCCACACAATTTCACAATCTGCAAGCACACTCAGTTTCTTCTTAATAGGTATTTCTAGCTCCAGAACTGTTGAGAATACACAGAGAAGCTAGAAAGAGCTGCAATGAGATGCAAAGAACGGGTGTTCAGATTCAGAAACTGGAGATTAAATACCAAGAATCACCTTAAAAACATTATGTGCATTAGCTTGAACCCCCAAGCTAGATTTGCCCAGTCTCGAAAGCAAGTTATTTATTTATTCATAAGTAGCAGGATCTAGACTCAGAAATTAAGAAGTCAATAAGAGAGTAAGTGGATACGGTCCAAAAGCACCTGAGGGAAGGCTGACCAGCCATCAGTTCTTCCGGTTTCTGCAGAGACCGGCAGCGATGTTCACCAAAAGAGGTTTTTTACGTAGAATCTATGCAGCTACCAGGAGGGACAGCGCACTAAGAAGCTGCCAGCTTCCCAGGCATGCATACAAGGTATGGCAGATTTCCAGCTCCCCTTAGACAGGCCCAGGCTCGCATCCTGCCCCAGTCCCCCGGGCAGGACAGGGCAGTCGGCCCTCTCGGGCTCCCAAGCGCGGCTGCGAGGCCGAGCTCATCGGCTGCGCAACAGCTCTGGGATCAGCCGCTTTCTGACTTGGAACTTGCTGGGTTCAACCTGCAGAGGAAGCTTCAGGCAGCGCAAAGGAGACCACGTCAACATACTACTCAGGTGAGAAGCCAAAGTGAAGGAAATAATGCAGAAAGAAACACATTACAGCAGACTTGAGGGATAATTTGTTGAATGAGGCTTTCGTGTGATTTGAGAAGTGGTTTTTTTTGCATACACAGGTTCAGAACAACAGTGCTTTGCAAACACAGCTTCACAAGTGTTTTCTTCCACTGAAATGCAAACTCCACTACAAGACTACTGGAAATATTAAAGTTCAGCTTGACAAAGGACACCTAACAGGGTGATACTTCAGTAATTTATACAGACAGTTGTAGAAACACAGGAAGTTATTTCATTTGAAAACCCACCTTAATCCAGTTTTGTGGGATACATTTTGTAGCAAGCTTTCCCCCTTAATCTGGTGAGGGGTAGGGGAAGAAAAAGGGAGGGAAGAAGGAAAGGAGAACACAACGGGAAATAATTCCTGATTTTGTCTACATGCTTTCTTTAGTTTTGCCTCTATAAATAGAAAATTAACTTTTGAAGAATGCACCCAGCGCACTTGACAGGACAGTCATTGGCAATATAAGTCTTCTTCTAAAGAAACAATTAAAAAATTATTTTCTTGCTGCTTGGTGAAATTAGACAGGAGACATGCAAGTAACAATTTAAAGAAACAACCTGGGCTACATCAAATCTATTTCTTATTAACATAGTCATAACTAACAGAAAACTATTTGCAAAAAGGGTATATTTTAAACAACTCAGAAAATAAATTCCTCCTACCTTCTCTGATAAATATTGCTCATAAACTCCAAATGCCGCTGCTCTTAATAGACCTTTGGTTTGATTAGTCTGATGCTTCCCGTCTTTTTGCCGGCTCTGCAAAACTTCCAGTTGCTGCTGGGCTGTAACCCTGTATCCTTCCACTGTCATCCAGAAAAACAGATGTGCTTGGCCACCAGTTTGCTGCATGTAATCTACGAAGAAGCAGGAACACCCACCCCGCAAATACAACAGTTAGTGCATATCTTAGAATAAGAAATCTCTGAGATGTTAACATGAACACATTGTATTGACTGGAATATTGAACATACAGTAGTGACTGGAATAGAACTCATCTAGATTCAAACAAATCAAGTACTATACACAGATTGGTGATAACTGGTAAATAAAACTGAAGCACAGTCTAGGACTAGGCAGTTTATCTTGTAACATTCTTGTCCAGACTGAATCGCAGTCATGCACAGTCATCACGTGTCCACTGCACAGACACAGACTTGGGTGGCACGTGCAAGTTTGCAGGAAGTTCATATTGGAATTTGACCAAATCACAAGCATCTGCTGCATTAAAAAGACAATCAGCAGCAAAAAGAAAGGATCGATATTCTCAGAAATGATTAGCAACAGCACAATTCATTTACAGAAAAGAACAAAGTATTAGGAAATATTAAATACAAATTACCTAATCCATTTATCAATCTGCTGATAATAAAATAAACCTAAGACAGTACACATAGATTATTGTTGTATTTTAGGTTTTCAGTTAAGGTAAATTTGGTAGCCTTGTAATTTTCAAAACTCAAATCTTAGCTTCTACCAGGCCAGCAAAAAAAAAAAAAAAATCAAAGCAAGCAACAATAGTTTTTGTCTTTTGCAGTCATTCAATTATGAAATTCTAAGCAATTTTGCAATTATTGCAATGACAAATCAAGAAATTCTGCAAGATTAGTTTTTACAGAGGGATGAGTATTGAAGAAAACCTGATAGAAACTTTCAGTATGATATTCTGAAGAGTTAACTCAGAATCCATATGCAAAAAGGTTTTGATTCCTTCTGGCAAGGAACGTATTTAGCTGTCAACAGACCCTTAGCAATTTCAAGTATGAGGTCTTGGGGGTTATCTTATGCTTTATAAAAACAAACAAACAAACCAAAAAACATTAGAAACTAATACATACCCATAAAAAATTGTAGTGCAACATTGTCTACCAGAATATGGTCCAGAGGGACTGTGCAAAGTTTTCCAAAGTTTGCTGCCAGTTTCACAGTATCTATTTCCTGGAAAACAATGTGTTCAAAGGGCTCAAAGAATTTTCTTTTTTATTATTTTTTTATTTAGCTTTTAACAATTCTGCTTACTGCAAAGCAGCCATATGAAAAAGCCCACACATTATAGATAATAAAACAGCTTAACTATTTTCACTATCACTAATAAGTGGAAAGAAAAGTTTTATTCTCATAACTGTCTTCAGCACTTCGGCATCTGGGAAATCTGACTTCTAGAATTGCCCTTCTTGAAGCGCTCTACAGATAAATTAAACCCAAATCTCTCAACTAACGGCGACTGGAGCATGAAAATGAACTCATGAGATGAACTAATTTCAGAATTAGATGGGGTGCAGGTCACCACAGCTTGAATTCACCTCTATACAACTTTGTTCTATTAGTGTGACATTTCCTGGTATTAGAGTAGTCCTAAGGATCTAGTCATAGAACATTTGAAACATTTTAGCAGTTAATATGCACAAGATTATATTATCTCAGAGCCACATCCTGGTCAAATTAAGAGAGTCAAGAGAAGTCAAAAACATAAAATTTGTATGTTTCTCTCCTTCCCCTCCACAAATAAAAAGCAACCACAGAAACCACACACAAATAAACACAAGCACACACACTAGGTTCTTAAATCTAACATCCAGTTTGCCTTGGTCTTTTTGTGAACTAGAGGCAAACAGGTTTGATTGAAGAAATACACAGAGTCTCCAGGGCACTGCAAAATACTGAAAATAACTGGTACACGGTACCTTTATCAACAAGAAAACAGAATTCTGCCAAAAAGTAAACTTGAGGTGCAAAAGGTACACACAGTAGGAGCAGGGTAAGAACTGAGTATTTGTAAAAACACAAAGACACCTCATCAGCTAGAGAATATTTCAGTTCAACTCTTATTTTGAAATAGTAATAATAAATTAATAGGCATATAAAGTATTAAAGTTAGAAACCAAAAGATAACATCTCTAAACACGTGAATCTTCATAATATTTTTCCCACAGTGAAACTGCAAATAGAAAAGACTAACTTCAATTGTATAACATATCTAGTTACCCTGCAAAATTTCAGGTTGTGTTTCAAACTGCAAGAGTTAAAAAAGACAGACTGATTTACTAAGTCATTCACAACTTCACTCACAACAAAATTCATTCTAAAATACTTACTTTTCCTGACTGCAACCTCTGTATTCTTGAATCACATACTTTAACAACATATAATAAACTGTTTATTTGATTTTTTATAGTGTTGATATCTGAAAGTAAAAACAAGAGAATTAAAAAAGAGAGAATAGCAAATTTTTTTTTGCTCTGGAATACTCCACAAATATAACACAAACAAAAAGTATAACAGACTCAACAGAATATGTCCATTTGGAAGTAAAAGTTTTTAACTTAAATAGTCTACTGATGAAGTGAATAGGAAGAAATACTTCTCTCTTTCATCTCTTAACTGTTAACTGACTGGTCCTTAACACAAAGTATTGAAATTCAGAATTACCAGTCAGGCAAGTTTCAATTTAGTGTCAGTATAACTATGGAGTCAACTTGTTTATACATGAGAAAGGACAAGTAATAGGGAAGTGCTGCACATACACAGACAGTATAAGCATACCTGTCTTTTAAGCATATAAGAAGGTCCAAATTTGAATTCTGCATGCATAATTTAATTTAAATAACAATATTTCATAGCATTTTGTATCAAAGAATTTATATTTTCTTAGTTGTTGGAATGTTCTTCAAAAATCATGCTGGTAATCGATGATACAGTACTGACCATCTCCTGCTGTATCTAGAGATCGAAGATATTGCAGTTCTTCACTTGCTTTATCTTTCACGGCTTCCAACTCGCCTATATTGTCACTTAATTTAATAATATTCATAAAGGCCTCATAGTTACAGTTGGAATCACTAATCTGAAACATATAGACAATTTCCATGTGATCCATGCAGAACAGACTAGAGCATACAAGATGATTTTTATGGCATTTTGAGAACATAGCTCAGAATTTAGCTTTGATATTTATCTTAACACAGGCAATTTCTGTAAGAATTTAACCTTACAAAATTTCATTTTTTCTGAACAAATTAACTTTTCCAAGATTATCCTTTAAAAAGAACTAGAGATCAGACCTGACATCCTTACAATATTTACACCTTGCATGCAAACCTATATTAAAAGCAGATACTAGTTTTCACTTTAGACATGAATAAAGATTAATGATAACATTATGATATGTTATTAAATTTTCTATGTCATCAGAGTATTGTAAAAAATTGTAGTGATCAGCATATTTTACTAGTATGTATATTTATATGAAAACCTCCAGTAAAATTAAAGGCATTATTGGATCAATAGATATAGAAAGAAGGAAAAAACAAACAAACAAACAAGGTTTCATGCCTAAACTTCCCAAATTCACTGAGCAGATGCATGTTTTAGCGCAGAAATACTTTTCCCCAAGACAGTAGTATTTTGCTTCAAGAAGACTGCAAAAGAAATTTTGATGCTTTTAAAAATTCCTTTTGAGCCTATTTGTATATTACAAAATTAGATATATTTTGAAGGAAGTGCAAAATTTTCAGAAGGCCAAAGGACAAATGAAATAGGACATCTACAAGCCAGCTGCATTTGTCCCCTCCAGTCCTGAGGGTCAGTGGAGTCATTCCCTAGCTGCCAGGCACAAACGGGCTACAGCCAGCACAGCCACAGGTCTCATTCCTGCACTACACACTGGGATCCCAACTAGGTGATTATCCACAGACCTATCTGCTTTTTCTCAATTCAAAGAATAAGGCTCTTTAAATACTATTTTAGAATACTTTTAGTGGGAAGTAAACTCTGGAGGACATCTAGTCCAACTTTCTGCTCAAAACAGCATTAAATTAAAGGCATCCTCTGTTAAACAGTGTAGAAACTTGAATTTTGGTAATCTGGTTTACTCTTCTCAATGAAGAGATGGTAAAAAATAAAATAAAAAATAAAGTGTTCATCCTCCCTTACATATCGGAATCTGCACAAAGTTTGCACAGCACATGCTTGCTAAAACTTGTTCTTGATGTATGTGCTCTACACTGACCATACTCTAGCCCCAAGCCCCTGTAACAGGCTGTGTCAAGCCTTGGGAAACACACAGAGGAAGGAAATCATTGCAGATACTCGTCTTCTTGCTATGCCTGGATAACACAGAGGAAGGAGACACCAGTTTATGACAGTCCGAGAGACTTAATAAGAGACAAAACTCAGATCCAGAAGATGACAGCAAGCAGTCCTGACCACTGAAACTGAGAGTAGGAGAAAGCATCACCTGGGGTAAGGTCTGGCAAGGCAACAACAACCAGAGAAACAGGAGCATTTGGACAAAAATACTGGAAGTTCTGCCGAAGGAGGCTAGGAGGGTTTGTACAAAACCCATTAGCATTTAGATAGCTGGATGCTAAGCATTTAAATAGAAGAATGGAAAGTGCAACTGAACTGAAAACTTTTGTAAGACTAAAATAAAGGTAACATATAGGGTAAGGTAAGGAAAATTTGGAAAGAACTGGGCAAAAAGACCAAGCTTGGTAGAAGAAATGAATCCTAACAGAGGAAGCATGCACACAGCCCACCAGTTTTACACTATGGCTTTCTGTTTTCAACCATTCTGCTACAGAGGTACCTAAGAAGCAGGTCATCCTCCTTTATGGCCAAAGCCCCAGAGCTTCCTACTGCTACCATGGCACTCCTTAGTTAACTGGTAAGAGCACTGAAAAGGTTTCAGCTTTGCTGAAGTTCCTGCAAGCCTACTGCAAATTCCTAATGTAATGGATTTTTAAGACATGGGGCTTTAAGATACAGGACCACAACCTAGTGGGAAAAAATATCACCTCTGAAATCTTAATTTAGATATCCTTGAAAACAACCTTAAAGTACTGCATTAAATATTATTTTTCCACATGATTGTTGTCCCAGCGATGCCACAGAACAAACCTGCTCTCAGAGGGATTTGTGTTAGCAAAGAGTATCTTTAAAAGCTCGTCTGGCTGTTCAGATCACTGGACACTGTTTGCAAATGCAACATGGGGATTAGTTGAAGGCTGGCAGCTTCACAGCAAGTGCACGCAGCTCCAGAGGGTGGAATTCTGATGCTGCCTTTGCCATTCAAAGCAAAACTCACTGCATCTTTCATAAATGCTCACATATGCAAACAGAGCCCCTTGTCTGCACAAGTGCATTGGGATGAATTGCAATCTGTACAGACAAGAGTGGATACTTTCAACCAAGTTTAATAAAAAAATTTTCACAAATTTCCACCATTTAAGAAGTAATTAGCTCCATTTTTAAAAGAGTAGTAACAGTAGAAACCTTAATAATCTAAAACCGTCTCTTTGTGAAAATCACAAGTTTTAACTCCTGCTTTTATATTTAAGCTTTACATTTTATTGTCAGTGAATTAGTATCAAAGTATGGCATGCTCACAAATACTGAGCTAAACTTCTAATTCTCAGGAAGTACATTTTCTCATTGAAATCTGTTTTTATGTCAAAGGGTCTCCTAAGAACCAGAATTTATTTCAGTCAGATCTACTTCTGAATTTAATTCCTGCAACAACATTAATTTCACAAAACTTGCATTACGTTTTTGAAAGCATTTATTTTTTCTTATTTATATTCCAGCACTTCTACCTCTTCATCTCAGAAAAGAATTATGAAAATTAATATTCGGGACACCACCGTCACAACAAAGTTTTACAAAAACTTCAGAATTCTATCTTTGGATGCATCTGGGGGCAGTGCTCAGTAAATAAAGAATGAGGCCAAGTTACAAATAAAGAAGTTGCGTAGGAGGAAAAGGGAAACGAAAATTGAAAAGCTGGGTACATACGAGCACCACTCTAGGTTCCTGTAGAAAAGCAAATGTGCAAACATCTATGTAAAATAGGGCCAGCTGGAGCAGAGGGCATACTGCAAACGTAAGCCTGTATTTTGTTTCCTACTCAAGCATTTCTGACTACGAAAATCCAAGGTGTTTCAGCCTAGTTCATGAATGTCTGCTCTTGAATGACAGTGTGAAATACGTGAAGAAAAGTAGAAAGAGTTTGAGTCAGGCTGTTTTGTTTTTCTTTTCTCTCTCTACCCATAACGTAGACGGAATAATAAACTATAATAACAAGTTTCAACTCTCATTTCAAATTACAGAATGATTGTAAATGGTCTATTTATATTGATTTTACTTTACATTATGGCTTCACAGTAGATTTTTTTTCAAACTGCATTTAGAAAACAATTGAAGAAGAAACTTTGCTTCTTTTTATTCAATCAAGTCATTAAGGGTTACTACAAATATCCCTAAAAAGTAATACTCCTTCACAGAAGCAAATTACCTCATTTGTCTTTCTGGAGGCTTTTTAAGATTTTAAGATTTAAAAGGAAAGGGGTGTTAAAAAAAACTTCAAGATTATCACCATACTTCTTAAAGAACTGACATAAAAGGAAAAGAATTCAGTTTTACACTGTCATTCATTTGCCAAAGAACCACAATCACAGTACAGATAACATAGATAATATTAAATATAACATAGATAAATATTATATATGAACAGCAGCTGTGAGTTTACTATTTCATCAATATTACATTGGTAGAATTTCTACTAGACTTCCACCTGCCATGATTAGAGGCAATGCAAGTGAATTCTGCAAATATCAAAACACTATAAACCTTACCATCCATATGACATACTGATTAATATAATCAGGATCACTGAGCTGGTTTATTAATGGAAGCAGAATTCCTCGGGAGAGGATTTCCTAAAAAATAAAAATAAAATAAAATAAAAGTTATCATATCTTTGTGTATTTATTCATAAAGCTAACAGAACTATAACAATTCAAAAAAAAATCACAACACAGAGGCTAAAAAAAGCTCTAAATGTGTAATTAAGATACCCTGCAATGGATAAACATCAAACTTCTTTCACACAAAAATTTATGTTAACATATACATATATATATAAAAACATATATAAAAATGCTTTTCAACTTTGCACTGCATTAAAGTTAATTTAATATTAAATTAGATCAATTTTAGAAATTGGGCATCTAAGATTTAAAGATTTTTATATCATGAATCCAAGGAATTATCATGCATTTTAGAGTCTATATTTACCCTGACAAAGTATCGCATGATCTTGTTCTGGAAGTCTCCAGGAGGTAGCAATATATACAATAAAACCTCACACAGATCCCTTAGGAATCCTAGAGAGGGAGAAAAACAGACAAAAAGTCCCTGAACACCATTTTATATTATTTCACACTGATTTTCTGATATCATAAATGATATCAAATTTTCTGATATCATAAAAAACAACAGATAAATCCTTAAAATGAAATTCAAGTAAACAAGCATATGTATCCTTATATTTCAAGCCTCACATTTAATCCTTTCACCTTAATATAATCAGTATTGATATAAAACCCAAAACCAAACCAAATAACCCACTCCCCATCTCCCAGAAGATATATTTCTGCCTTAGAACTCTTCCAATGAAAAGAGGAATATGCACCTCACTGTAATAGTAGTGTGTACAAAGAAGAGGACATGTGTGTATCGTATATAATCATGCCCTATAAGTCACCTAAGATTTGAGCACATTCCATTTTGATTATTGCTACTACTTTAACTTAGTCTACTACATCAAATAACCTGAGAAGAAAATACTGAGGCACCTTCTTCATCTTTGGGAGAAGTACAGACTAGGTCACGACAAACTTCTTTTTCCATCTCAACTTCAACCTCAAAGAAGGTATCTACAAGTTCTTCAGCTTGGTCTACACAAAAGAAAATAAAGACAAACACACATCAAAATCAGAAACTTGAGAATGAACTTGAATTATAAAATAAGGCTATAATTCACACATGGGAGACCTCTAACTGCTTAGATAGAAAGGATGAAATGTTGAAGTCGTTACCTTTTAGCTGATCACCTTTCTCTGCTATTCTTTGTTGAGCTTTTCTGAAAACTCGCAGGTGAGTGCCAAAGTCATCAACAAGTCGTGTAGTGAAATAAGGCTGCCAGTCTGTTTCCTTTGACCTAACAGAAAACAGTGTCCACAAAAATAATTTATTTATCCTTAACGCAAAGAACGATGACAAATTTTTACACCTCCTTCTCCCTACCAAGGGCTACAGGCATAGCAAACAGGGAGAAACAGACTCTCAATAGCCTACTTACTAAAACCAAATAAAATATTGTAAAATCTACAGGCATAGCAAACAGGGAGAAACAAACAGACTCTCAACAGCCTACTTACTAAAAACAAATAAAATATTGTAAAACAGTAGTCATATTTACACATTAATATTTATGCTTGAATTCTTTTAAGGTCAACATTGATATCCCGAGCAGTGCACCAAGTATGGTATTTGCAAGCTTCTGTGAAAATTTCCGATATAAACTAAAAGCAACTATAACTAAACTAAATAACTCTTCAGGTCTTTTCCAGTCATATTTTCTGTTGTTTGGGATGGGACATAAAATCATTTTCTTTTGAATTTATAGTATAGAAACACACAGAGAAAGCCCACATTTCACTTGAGGTTACACGCAACTGGATATTTTAAACAACTAATTCCACAACTTGCATGAGACATAGTTAGCATAAATGTCCAAACTGATAATGCACACACAGAAGTGTCAGAAACGTCACTATCGGATTTACGTGAAAACCATTTCATCAGTAGTCTGAGAAAGATGCAGAGCTATTCTTGGGATGTCCACACCTTATAGCCAAAACAAAAAGGTACTTTGGGAGTGTCAGTAAGCAAGATGTAAATCCAAATAAGCTGGATTTTACTCAGTGCTAAGTATTCCACCAGCGCATCCTCTTGGTTTTTCTTCTGTCTCAGATACCTACTTTGTTGCTGCAGAATCCTTGTATCATGTCTTTTTTTGGTGTGTGATTGGCATAACTGATTGCTGCCTCATTTCCTCTCACCTGCTTTTTCTTTCCTCAAAAAGAGAGGAATAAGGAACTCTGAAAAAGAGGGAAGCCTAATCCAAATATACTTATGGTAAGCAAAAGTGGAGTTGTCTTGAAGAACAGCTGAACAAGAACATCTATAGTCTGGATCCCCCATCCACAGGGCAAATAAAGCACTAGGTGGCAGCCTCACCCAGGCCCTGCAAACAAGCAGCTCAAAGAGCCATTCTGCCCTATCCATTGTCTCCAGAAATTCCAGGATAAATGAGATTAGAGATTATGGAACTGATCTGAGAATGCTACTGCTATATCAAACTATAGTCTGTTTGTAAGTAAACTGGATCAACTTCTCTCAATAAATACAAGCAACTTCGAGAGTAACTTTGAGAGACTGGTTCGATTTCTAGAGGCAGAAACTTGAGGCAGTTGGTTATAACTTCACCTGTTCAGACACAAAACTTACACTTACGCCTATGCAATTAAGTAATTTCCAAGGAAAGACAGAAACACTGGAGTTGAACAGACAGGTACATTTCATGCAAACACAGGTTTGTTTTTGGTAATGCACTGGCATACATTTTGTTTAGCCTAATTAATTTTCAGTATTTCCAACCTCCTCTTTCCTAGGAAATCCATTATTTCCCAGCCAACAAGATTTCAAAAGCATTATTTTTTTCCTAGCACTCCGTCTTTGACCTTTCTTGGCCGTAAGAGCAGACGGACGTATTTTCAATACATCAGTGTCAGGAAGGGACAGCACCTCAAAAGGTGCTAAGCAGGGTAGTACATTTCAGTCACTCATAGCCTCTGCTGGGGACAGAAGAGATCAGTCACCATGGGAGGATGAATGCTTGAAATTGTTTTTTTTTGATCCCATAAGGAATAAAAGGAGATTTTTATTGTTGCTTATGGTCTTTTCAAAGTGTTTATTTGTCCATGTCTTCCTGTTGGTGGTTAATCAAGGAGGAAGAAGATGGTGACCACGTCTGTGAAACTCTGCATCTTCTTTCCTATGGTCAATTAGTCAATCTAGGCTGCCACAAGTCATTATATCCCATACCTATTTATGAAGTAACAAAAAAAACACCCTCACTTCTCTTATATTATCATCTTAAAACATTACATGATCATTCAGTGAACTATGTAAACAAATACATTTAAATTTCTGGTCTGTTACAGTACAATGCAGTCATTTCTCCACTTAGCCAGTGTACTGAAGAAAACGCAATCAAGCTCACCTGGCAGAAAACTGAACAAGTGCATACTGAAGAGCCTTCCTGATTTCCAGAAGAAATGATTCATCATCACTTAGAGTATAATACCAATACTGGACATAGTCTCTCAGGGAAAACTGGATTACCTGATCATTGAAAAGGGGGATAGAGGTGGGAAAGAGCAAACATGAACAAAATACTACATGACGAGATAAAATAGCCTTTACGCCTCAAAACAGAGTAGCAGTCTTGTTTAAAGATTCATATAGCAAATAATACTCTCTTATCCAGTATGAAATAGGAAATGAAACTCCACAATTCACATACACAGACCAACATGGAAAAAACAGTTTTCAGTATATTTACCACTGATAGTAATACAAGAAAACAGACTCAATTTTTCTCCTATATCCTGGTCAATCCTCCCCACTCTCAGCTGTGCGACTATTTCCCAGCCTCCATATGGCTCAGAACTACTTAGATAATACTATCACCCAATACCTGCAAAAATAAATAATCCCTACCTGTTGCAAAGGTTCATCAATTATATTTGCACCTGTCAGTCTTCTGTCAATCTTAATAGGTCTGGCTTCACGCTTCATTTCTTCTATGCACTTGAAAGAAATTACAAATTTTAACTTTGCAGGTCTATGATGCTTGTATATTTACAAGTTTATACTACAACACTTTGCTTAAGATTATGTTTTATACAGTACAACAGATGTAACCTCCATAATTGTTCAGTATATAGTAAACAGTGATGAGACACTAACCTGAAAAACTACTACTTCCTTCCTGCAAAGGAGATTTACTAACAACACCAGATCAGAGGTTAATAAAACTCAGGTAACAAGAAAATGGCAGTGAAGGTAACAGCATCACAGGAGAGTTTGGAGGTTACAGTTCCACACTTAGCTATGAGCTCCCTGTGCTGCCTATGGCTGGTAATTTTTCATTTTTGTCTCAGTTTCTTTATCCAAGAAAATTGTTCAAGGAATCTTAAATTTTAAGGCTGCATGTATAAAACCACATTTGAAAAGCATTCCAGAAATTAAAAAGCAGCTTATGCTTTTCTAAAAAAGAAGGAACTTTTCCAAACTTTGCTGGTTTAAAAAAAAAAAAAAAAAAAAGTGTTCATAGGCTCTCAGAATGCAGGACAGAGCAGACTTTAGAAGGCCCTCTCCCCCTGCTGAGAGCACAGCTAGGAGGCCAAGCCATGTGTGAGAAGTTTATGCATGTACAGCACAATTTCATTTGCTTTTGATATGTTTGAAGTCACCTAAAAAACAGAACCAGTGCTTTCAATTCAAGTAGCTATAACAACTGACAATTTCTTTCACTGTAGCTCTTATTTTACATGCCCTCCCAGTTTTAAGCTCATGATTCCATACATTAATTTCAATGATGGACTTCAAGCATTCAACTTACACAAATAAACTGTTCTATTTAACTGACACTTTACATGCAATATTAGTCTGATACACATTCCACCAGTATTAAATCACTAGTTTGGAAAACTGAATACCTCCTTTTTTTTTGGTTCAGTTTGAGTTTGATTGCCTCATTTTAAGCTAATGCAAATCACTGATTTGAGGAAAGTGAGATACCCGCTCCCCAAAGACAGAGCCTGAGCACAAGCAAGCCCAATCGCCTACAAAAATGTGGACTCAAGACAGGAGAAGACTTCACAGCTTTGCTTTGCTGAACTACCAGTTATTTCACTAGTCCTAACTACACTCGATAGCTGGTTAACGCAAAGGACGCTCCATTCAGAGCGTGCACCTGCAGGCCCAGGCCAGGGAGCTTTCACGGCTGGCCAGGACACAGGAGATCTTCGCGCCCGCGTTCAGCTGTACCGCGGCGCGTGACTCACCGGCTCAAAAGGGATCAAACCGTAACTAGCACTTTCACACTAACCATTCGAGCTTGACAAGGGTACGAGAAACTGTCACAACTTATTTAATGCTGTTCTGTTAATAGTGCACCTAGCTTACAGGAAAATCTCCTTGTCTTTTGGGCGAGACAGACAAGATGACAATTACGATAATACCTAGACAGTACACAGTTGTGTTAAAGTTAGAATGAATCTAACGGTTTGGTTGCAAATAGCATTCCAATTTACAGCAGAAAGGTCTCTACCTTTTATTCAACATTATTTTAACACAGATCTGCAGGCAATATGTAGCTTACGGAACCAGTGCATGACAACACTTAGTACATTCCTGATGTGAAAGTTACGTAGAACTATGGAGAAGTTAATGTAAGCTACACAGAGAAGTCTAATCCTAATTTTTAAACCTGCCTGCATGCAAAGCAAAAACAGCAGAGAAGTAATTAACCGTCCATCAGACTCATGTAATCAGACCTCCTTGTGTGAAGCTTTTGTTGCACATTCACTACTATGCATAAGATTCAGTAATTTCAATAAGAACAATAACAAGAAGGGCAAAAGTATCTGTGCCAAGCCCTCTGTTTTAACTTAGGGTCAGGCGCAATCTTCATATTACTTTAACCACATCTTTGGTGCTCTGAGTTATGACTGATTGAAGTCAAGCATTTGAACATTTAACTCAACCTGGAAAACAAGCCATTAAAAAGCAACGCACTGTCTTTAGGGAAAAGAAAGCTTCTTACAAAAAATCCACATCATGATATACCTCCTCAGAATACAGCAGCAGAAAGGCATTTAATGATGAAACAAAATGAATGTGGATTTGGGAAGAACCATAACCTATACATTAACTACTGGGGAGAACATTCACTGTTCAAAGACCAGCTAAGGCCACAACAGTTTTAACTTGAAATTGTTTTCATTTTTTAAAACTATTGCCTTCTAATAAAGATGAATCAGTGGAAATATCATAACAAAATGGCAAAAAGGAACTCCAAGGAAACCCTATTCCATTTGGCTGAGCTTTGGACTCATCTATCACTGTTACCAAAAAGCTCAACCAAACTAGCTAACGTTATACGTTAAGAGAGGTGTAAGAAAGATCCAACTCTACTAGAGAATGCAAAGATTTTAGACAGAGAACAGCTTCAAACAGCATTTGCTAAAGACAGTTGAAAATAAGTATCATTGCACAACAAAACTTAAATCCACAAATACATCAGGGCTGGCCAGATGAGAAAAATGACGTGTGTTAAAAATCCATGCTCAAACCAGAAGTCAAAGCACCAAGATTGTGAGGATTATGCACAGAAAGACATGCTATCCTATTCTAAAGCAATCAGAGCACGTGTAAATATGAAGCTTAAAGAAGCGATAAAATGTAAAAAGTTTTTTGGGGAATTTTGAACTTTGTAAACTTCAAAAACTTTAAACTTTAAACTTTTTAAACTGAACTTTTTCAAGTTCAAAACGCAGAAAAAATTTCTCACAGAAAACATGAAAGGCATTAAAAGTATTTCACAAACTATATAATTAAGCACTGAGAACAATATAGCAACTCATTTTAACAACTTTTTAAAACCTGAAACTGAATTTCATAGGTGCTTAATAGGTTAACATTTCTTAAACAGGAAGGAGAGCATCATTTCAGGGAATGTGGAAGCAAACATTAATTCTCTTGGGAATCAAGGACTTTTGGTCTCTGAAAGGAGAACAGCCTCCCATAACAGAACAGAATTAATCATTTGCAGACTTGCCTTTTTGCAGCTGTAGCAAAAATGTTTTCAACTTTGTATTTTTCATTTGGATGAGTAATTCAGAATATATCTAAGGCCCAAATTTATTTCCACAGATTCAAAGGCGGCTTATATGAAAAGGCAACTTACCAACTGAGCTATGAATCAGTCACAAAAGCTACTTGCGACTACAAAAAACATACTGCTCAATCCCAAAACAAATCTTCCTTCAACGTGTTGCTGGTAAGAGAGCTGAACCCACCCCCCCTTTCACAGATAACATGCAGTGTTGAAAGCCATGAGACAGTTTTGTGACTCCCCTGAAAACCTGACAGTTGAGAAGGAAGAGAAGGGTGTTTCAGTCAAAACAGTTTTAGTATCATGACATAACTGGCAATCTTTTGGTGATTTTTTTTCTCTTCTGAAGAGCTCAAACCGATTAGGCCGCGATATATCTAAACTTCTGAACTGCTGAGATGCACAGGTTCATAAACCAAGAACTCCTAGCAATTCTACCACTTGGATAGTAAGAATTTATTCTGTGTCAAAGAGATGCAGATTTATCCAATTAGGAAGCCTGAATTTAGATTCATCAGCCAGATGGATGTCTCTCTCAACAATAAAGAAAAAAAGATGTCAGAGTGAAAGAGTGGATCTTACTGTTCCTCTGCATTTATGTGCACATTTCCCTGATTTCTGCTTGGTCTTAAAGACAAAGACTTCTACCTCCCTGAAGAGCTTTAAATCTAGACTTCAGCACCTTTCTTATCATAAAGAAACAGAGCTGGAAAGGATGAAAAACTGATGATGGAAGAATCCTAAATAGAGATGACAACTGTGTGAGAACATGCAAGAAGTAGCTGCTATTCAAGCAAGGCAAAAATACATAAAAACAAATAGTCTAGAAAGTTTGGCAATTTCCTAGCAGATAATATTAATAAGTTACATTTTACAAACTTTCTAAAAATGCTTAAAAAGTTTGTATTTCAAAAAAGAAAAACCTTGTTTTACACTTTCACACATAGCTTTTCATCTCAAAAAGAAACTTGTCTCAATATGAAAGCTGGTTAACATATCTTAGGAAAATGGCACATTTCAAAGCCTTAAATAGAAAGGGATTTTAAGTTTCAAAGTCAGAAAAATTGATCTAAAAGTTCAGACCTGTAATCTCTGTTACCTTAGGGATTCCAACAGACGTACAGGGAAGAAATGAATGTTCACACTGCTCAAGGTATTTTTCTGAGTTGCTTTTTCCAAATAAAAGAGTAACCACAAAGCCCCTAAAAAGGAAAAAGAGATTAGCTAAAACAACAGCCATATTTAATTCCTCTAGAAAATATTTCACACCACGCTACACACTGACAGCATACACGGAGTCTCCAAGAAAGGGGGTCTTTCACGGCATAGCGTGGTATCATGTCAGTGATTCGGAGCAGTAAACATTAAGTTTCTCACTCTTGTACTAGGACCAGCACCAGTTCATACCACCCAGGGGATCTATAGATCTGGCACAGTCTATCCTAGAGAGCCTGCTGCATGGTAAGAACTTGAGATGGGTGCCATCTATTAACACTAGTGCAAAGGAGGAGTACATGCACTAAGTTAGTCTGCTTGTGTTTTTACACAGATTGTTTTACTTGAGCATGATAAAATGCACCCCTTTAGGGACGTGTTCAGGCCGTGACATTGTGGTGTAAGACACAGCAGCCCAGGTCAGGAAGAAACAGATGCAGCAATGCTACTGGCTGCATATACTTACAGGATAGAAAGAAAAGTTCCTGACATGAAATTTAGGATAAAAAGCTGCAAAGCAGAGGGAAAAAAAAATACATTCCTGCCGGGCTGCATAAGAACAGCTAGCCAAAGAAAAGTCTGGAGGACAGCTCAAGTCAAACGCAACATTCATTAATTCAGTAAATAAATTTGACTTCATGCACTTCTGGACCAGCAATCTTAAAAGCATGTTATATTATAAATTTACTATCTTTTACTCCAAGAACCCTTAACGATACTTATGACTTTTAATTAGGCAGGATTCTTTTGCATTATGATATAAACAAAGGCACGAGGAAAAAATGTAACAGTTATAAAAAGTTTGACTGTAATGCAACAGGAATAAGAAAGGCATTATAAATATAGCTTTTTACACTGGGACTGGAGGGCAAAAACACATATACCTGTACACCATGAAGCCATTTGAATAAGAAAGAAATGAGAACCTAAAACCTGTGAAGTTGTCTTCTTTCCCCCTCAGATGCAATGTAATCGAACCAGCCTTTAAAAAATGAAGCATGAAAGGCTGAACATGCATAGCTCTTTAAACATAAATTGCCAAGTATGGAATTGAACATGACCATGAGACCAACAGTTGTGCCCACAGAACTCACAAAGCTATTCTGAGATAGATAGAAATATCCTGCAATTATATATATATATATGTATATATATATTTTGTAATATCAACTGCTCCCTGATACATAACTTATATGGTTATCAACATACCTATATTCACCAAAAATCCCTCTGAAGATTCTAACTGCCAAGCTGAGAAGCATTCTTTTAAGTAAGAGGCTCAATAATTCAAGCGCTGGGAGATTTTCATTTATATGTAACTCCGGGACAAAAAGTTTTAAAAGAAAATTCCACTCGGTACACAGACTGCCTCAGATCTTACAGTACCATCTT